GCAAAAATTAAATAGAACGAGAGAAAGATTTTTTGCAGTGAAATGGACAACAATGTTTTAGTTGTTCATAATTAATGCATTTTGAAATCGACTCATATGACTGTGATTAATATAATATGGCATGTGATATAGGATCTATAATCTGACGGTAAAAATGTCATTAAAACGTTTCGTTATTGAATTAATTCAATACTTGTTTTATATTTTAGAAATGAAAAATAGGCGTGAGTACTGTAATAACTAAAGAATGTTTACCAAACAATGTGTACATTGTATTTCAAATCCAGCGACAGCACTTGGATATCATATATTACGTGAAGAAGTGACAAGGAAACCCAGTCTAGATTTGTATACGGATGTCTGAGGATGTGTTAAGAAATCTATATGAGGTATTTGTCTATGTACACTGTCAATATAGATTCTGGCAAGCTTTCATGCCGACATTGTCAGTAAGAAATATGACACTTAACGAAGAATTCATACCCAATATTTTGTAAACAGATGGGGTTTTGTTTCTACAAACAATATTAAACATATCATAGCGTCAATAAACATTGCATGTCATTTATGTGCTTTTCATATAAGAACTTAACGACATTGTTACATTTCATACCTGTATTAACATTGAAAAACGATGTTCAATCCTTATATTTACATTCTTAATATTTATTTCTTATTGACCCAAAAAAAAAGATCTGCCCTCATGTCTTCGATATTGAAGTATCTGTGTCGTCAGCACAAACAAGATTCCTGGAACAGCTTAATGTCACCAAAATGCTTGTCTCGTGTTTATCGAGGCGGGGACAAAATGACACTTATCGAATTGCGTTCATAGCGCTATAAACGCAATTTCTCCTTGTAATGTGTATAGAGGACCTTGCAGTGAACATGAAAATATATATCTATAAACAGTTATGTGATATTTAACTTTCGGTAGCATTGTATTTCTTTTTATTCTATAAACAGCAACAGCTAAGGTTGTATGGAGGCTGTATCCTAACGATGAGCCACTCAAGAGTCACTATAGAGTGTCATCTCACTGAAACGCCACATCCTGGACACGAAAGCCAAACACTCTATGTTGTCAAATTATACTGACACCAGATAAACAAGGTGATTCCCTGGGAAGAAGAGCCAGAATAGAGCGTATGCGAGAAAAAAGAAGCGATAGATGTGTAGAGTGTTGCAAAGCAGATCAATTTTGGTTTTCTGCAATGGTCCTTAGCTATAGGCACAAACGAAAATTTCTGATCTGCAGAGAGGCCAACATTTGTCGCCTCGAATGTTCTTATCTTCGTGTTAAACATATTGAAGTTTATCACTTATGATATGCAATGACTACGGTCATAACATATTTGTGTCGCCTATAACAAGTGTATGGTATAAAATTCCAATTATGATGCCACACGTGGTTTAATAGGTCGGGCATAGTTAGGACAATAGACGTGACGTCATAGATTTCAAGATTACGTCGCTGAAATGTTGGCAAAATTGTGGTGAATATTTATATACATATGTATTTATTCCTCTCGAGTTTCAGTTTCCTCACTCTAACGACTTTATTTCTGAAACAAATTTTGATTATTTTGTGATTACGTTTGAGAATGTCTACACCTCGGATTTGTTTGCATTGCAGAATATCAAAGTCAAGGCTTATATCTATATTCCTATATTTTGTATTTGTATAAAATATTATTCAACTAGTTCATTATCGTCAGGCTAGTGATTTTTTTCCCCAATAGATTTTGACAAAACTTGATTTAAAGGTCAAGTATGAAAATTCTTTGAAGCAATTAGTGTTTCAGAGTGCCAAAATCAAGGTACTATTTCTATAATTCTGTCAGTCGATTCAGCGTCATATATATTAAGTGAATTTATTGTAAAAAAAAAAGAACTTTGAACAAAAGTACAATAGGAAAATACCTCATATAAAACTGTGTTCATGGTTCCGAGGTCAAGGCCAATGTCATCGTTGCTATTTATAGTAAGTTTTCACCGATTCAGTGTCATCACTCTAGCAAGTTTGTTTCTTAATCAATTTTGGTATACTTTCGCAATTCTATTCAATGACTTAATGTCAAAGTGGATTGAGGTTGGTTTGGTTTTATTTCGTTTAAAGTCCTATTAACAGCTACGGTCCTTTGCCCAGTGAGTAAGGAGAAAGAAAAAGTACTCTACTAAATATCAAAAACGATAATACATTGACTGATGTGTATTTCAGGGTGCAAAGGTTAATGTTATTTTTAGAAAACGACACTTATTTCATGCGGTATCAAAGAATTATAGTTAGTTTCATCCACGCTGAAATAGAAAAATAATAAGACCGTTTGAAAGATCTCATATGAAATGAAATCTCTTTGAAAACTAAATGGGCTTGTGCATTTGTTACGCATTGAAAACGGATATTTCTTATAAAAATGTTTGGTTTTTTTCTGGTAGTTATCATGTTAAATTACCACAAGCAGACATCATAACAGAAGCATATCACTGGAGTGCCAACATGCATTTAATATCATTCTAATTGAATAAAACATGTTTAAAATAAAATTAGTCTAATTAGTTACCTAATGGATTGCCGTTAGCACTAAGGGGTACATGTTAATCCATTATAGTGTTATAATTAATCTCAAGTATTCTTAAAATCGAACTTCATTTTCAATTATTTATCAAGTAAATCCCTTTTAATATGCTTTTAATCCTGATCGGTATGTTGGTTTTAACGTGACTACCACCCATGCTTTCGCTTTGTGTTGTTGAAATGTGTCATGTCCTTAATGCACATTTGACGTGAATTTACTTGTCGTTTTATGACAGGGGCGTCACTCCAGGTAAGAGTCCATTTATCCGGGCATGCTCCCCTCTCACAGGTCGGGTAACCGACCGGTCGTAATTGCCACTAGAACGCAGGTTAGGGAATAACAGACCGAAATGATCCATCGACTTGTCAGGGAAAGTCGTGGATCAATAGGGATTTGTAAATGGGGCTTACATAGACAAGGGAGTTAATTAAGCATCTCTCGCGATCACCTGCAGAAATAATAAGCACGTTGTGTCTGATAGCAGGTATAATGATTGTCGTCGTTTGTCGCTCGTCAAGGGCTTCGGTGAGTGTGTGTGTCTCATTAAAAACCTTGGATAGCCACTTGACATAAGGGGAACAGTTTTCTCGAGAGCAATTCATAACTATAAAAATGTACTTTTCTTGATTTGTTATATTGTACACGAAGTTCATAAACAGAATGTAAATACATGTGACTTGACTGGATTTAGTGATTATTTAAACGCGTATTTACCAACTTATAAAGGTAGGTTTTTTCAATAGAATTACATGTATATACTATTCCAAAATTCAACACAACAGAAATTTTACATCTTATTTACTAGTTATACATTCATTTGAGATAAGTGTGCCATTATTTTCTATATTATATTAACAAAAATATAATTTTCAGTTCAGATTTATTTTTCTTCTATAATATAATAAACAATGTTTTCATAATAATACCAAAATATACATGTCGAATAACTTAGTTACAATCGAGTCAGTTTTAAAACCATTAACATTTTATTTATGTAGTTACTCAGTGTCATTCTTGTCAAGATGATTAATCATTTTTTATTTTACAATTATAAAAAATGCACACATTGTAATTGAGTTCAGATTATTTTTCCTTTTGTCATAATGTCATGTTAATCAAATGGTTGAGTAAATGCACACGACCCGTTCTGTTAAGCTTATATATAATATATCATTAGTGGTGCAACATGTGTCGCCGGAAACACTAACCATTCCGGAACACCTGCTTCCACACGTGTGCAGGTCATGATGTGTCTCCCTTTTGTTTTGGTATTTCTTTTGTTCTGCTTTAATGTCTTCATGCACAATTCATGTTCGGATTTTGCCCTTGTGTGTTGCAGTTGTGATCTAGGTTATATCTTATTTATTTTCTATCTATTCATTCATTCATTCAATTTCATTCATTTATTTGTTTCTTGTTTTGATCTCATTTCACATAATGAGGCAGAGTGTTATCGGTTATTTAATTAAAAACAAAATGTAATATTGTGCAATTATGAAATTCAAGAAATTTCTCATCAAACAGATACTAAAAACATATATTTAATTAAATAGATCTTTTTCTAGATAATAACTAAATAAAATTGAAAATCGAAGATAATATCTCACAAAGCTATTTAAGCTTGACTATAAAGGAACATGTTTATTTAATTTAATACTTAAATATTTAAACTACTTAACATAGTTCAAATGTCTGGTACACTGCCAAATTTCAAAACTTTTATTTTTATCGGCTGTAGTGTATCTCAATCGATCTATATATGTTGCCATTTCCGTCGGCTATGTATAAAATTGGAAAATAATTAAACAAAAATAAGCTTAGAGAGAAAGTAAATATCTTCAGCTTAATGGACTGAACTGTGGTAGTGGTACTCAGGTGTTGCCTAATAGTTGTGTGTATACCGTGTTGTTTTGCCCAGCGGAAGGATAACAACTTTATAAGGATTATACAACACTTATGCATCATCGGTTCGTAGAACGAATTCGGCCAGAGTATTGTCAGGTCCTGAGGATAATTGATATGAATTGATTTTCCAAACGATCTCTTCAATTTTTTTTACAAAATATTATCAGTGATTTCAGCGAAATTATTTATGAAAATTGAACGTTTTGAGACTGATATATTTTGTGGAATTATTATGAAAATAATCCCAAAGATTAGTTTACGTTGCAGTTACGTTAAGCTGAAGTAAGCTTTGGCCAGGTGTGCATTTTGTAGATTCGTATCTATATCGCCTTGTGTACATATATTTACCTACAAAATACCCCCTTCGTGTAATATGGGCAGGCCAGGGCTGGACCTCAATCAGACATACTGTACATGTATGAAATATCCCATCATCCGCTTAATGTGTTGATTACATGTTTCGCTACCTGTCCGTTTAAATATTCCTCTGGTAGTATTTTGTATTATGATAAACGCTTTAGTGCTTACTCCCCCAAACTCGCCGTTTCGTATATAAACTAAACACATGACAAATTGTATTAGCATTTTATCCACCAGTCAACTGTTAATACTAGTCGATAAATGAGTTCAGTCGGTCGACTATACAATACACAGGCATATAAGGAAAGTGTTTAGTTTTTCTTAAGTATCAAGATATGTGAAATAATTACAGGATTAGGGCGATCATATTGCTAATAGTTTAAAAGCTATCGTGGGGGCTGTTTATGAAAATGGACTTAAGTTTCAATAATAATGCTATTGTTTAATTTGACCACCTCAAATATACCTAGGTATGCACTGCGCTGCCAAACGATAGATATGGATATTTAAATTTACCTGACACCCAGATTAGCCTAAGTGTTCGCTTGATAATGCCAATAATGAATGTACTTGTGACCGTATTCTGTTGTACACAACTCGTAGTCGTCAACTCGGACGCCGAAGTCAATTAATTCGGACACTGAATGGACACTAGAACGGACTTATCTTGACCAAGCTTCCTCGTACTAGTTGTGATATAACTTTAATGTGCTGTTTTCAGTCTGTGATAAAGTGCTACAGTGCAGAACATACAACTTTGTTAATTATGTAAATTGTGTTTTAACTGTTACGAGAGGACGACTTTGCCAAGGTAAGTTCACTAAAAAATACCTTTATTGATATTCAAATACTTTAACTTGATGATTTAATTAAATTTTGATGTTTCAATTAAATATCCCAATAGGTGTCGGATGATAATTAAAACCAGTCCTCAATGAGGTGTTAAGTCATTTTTATAATGAATTATATTTGTAATGATGAGATTTGTTAAGATGAATACGCATTAAGTGATAATTAGTGTATAGCGTTAATTGTAGAATTATTTTATAGGTTATTTAAACATTTATCTATGATATAGTTCACAATATGGAAAGCCATTAAATTCAAAGGTTCGTACATCTATATGATTTAGTTTAACATGATAGATAGGTAGATATGCTAAATCGATAAATTATGTTAAAAAAAAGTAAGACCTTAATTTAATAAAAATAATTTCAAAAATATATCCCCGACCAAGATATAATTTTTAGACTTTCCTTCGGGGTAACTGCAGAACATGGGATATTGTTTGAAATTTACATATTTTGGTTAGAATCGTATGACTACCCACACCGAATGACTCGCCAGTAGCCCCCCGGGGGTAGGGGNGGGGGGGGGGGAGAGAGATATCGAAGAGGGAGAACTTGCAAAAAATATCCATTAGTTCATACCCTGAATGGTACAAGTGAATTTAATCACACATGTGTGCCGTCCTACCGTTCTCGGTCAAAATATTCCGTCTTTGTTTTCATCTTTGTTTATTCACATTCTATTTACAAATACCCTGACAGGGGGTGACACGGGAGGAGGGAGTGGGTACGTCTTGTAAGTAGACATTGTCACCAGCCTTTGTTGAACACTACAGCCAATATATGAAGTACTTGTTTCCGTAGGGTACATCTAATTTGCTTAGTAAGGAGCTGTGAATTTGTCAAACATTGTCGGAGACGCATTAATGTCAGTTTAACTGAAATGACGGCGCGAAAAGCAAACAAAGATGTTCATTTCTAATTTTGTGGAGTTCTCATGTTACGAGTTTTATGTGCTGTGTATTAAGATGTTTCAAACAGTTTTCAGAGCTCGACCACCCCTCGCTAATAACATTTTGGTTACATTAGAATTATGTCTTCTCTTTCTGCGACACAAGCCCAGTTGCGTATTACGTTTCACCTATGTATATATCAGCTGTCTGATGGATTCGTAAACGTGCATTTACATACGAAGCAATCTCGTGTGTCTTTTTAAATGTAGCGTTTGGCAGGAATATTATGGTTTAGCTCTGTTGAACTCTTTATATCGAATTTCGCTATATTTTGGTGTAAGGCAAAGAATTGTGTCTGCTTGATTTATTTCAGTACATCATGATCTTGAGTAAATCACTTTGCCTTGTAATGTATTTCATTTGAGGATTGTGACTTTTTTATTACTTTTTTTCGATTCTGGAATAATGAGATACATAAATAAACATTATATAAAAAAAATAAAAAAACACTAGATGATTATAGACGCCATGTAGCTGTAAAAATAATCAAAATTTTCTAGATAAAAAGATATCCGGGATGTGTAAACAAATTAACAAGCAGACATTATGAATTGCCCCAAAAGATACCTACTAATTACGTATTTTTTGGACCGGATGTTTTCAATACAAGGACATAAATACTGTTATTAATTGTAAAAAAAAAAATGGAAGTGGTGTATAGGGTTGCAATCTGTTTTATGTGTCATGTCATTAAAGTACTTAAGATTAACTTACGCTTGTATATCAAAATATTGTAAAACAATCTGACTAAATTTCAATAATTAACTATGTTCCGCTACAACGCACCACAGTGCAAGATCTGACGACACAGCATCAGGAATCTCGATCTGGTACAGGTTTGATAAATGTATAACTTTATTTATTTTACAATAATTATGAAACAAGTTACTAGTGTGCAACTTATATTAATCACTCTCGTTGGCCCGGATGTTAGCGTAGAAAACCCACATGGTCGGGCAGGTGACCCCATACCTGTTCACGTCCGATCGGTGAATCGAACTCTTGCCGCCTTGGTGAAATACAAGAGCGCTATCCACTGCACCATCTAACTACCCAAAGGTTTCATTAAAACGCCCTCAAAATAAGGGGTGTTGGAGACACATGAGCATGCATACATAAGCATACAGGTATTGCATGTATCAGATCTTAGAACATGATCCCTGTCACCGTACGGTCAAAACCAACAATATTGTGTTGACCTGAACCAGAAATCTAAAGAAAGAAAGAAAGAAAATAATGAAAAAAAGGAAGAGCGAAAAATGAAAATGGAAAACAAAAGACAAAGGGAAACAAAACAAGAACAAAATACAACAACAAACAAAAACAATATTAAAACAAACAAACAAACAACAACAACAACAAGAAATAAACAAATGAAGCAAAATAGAACCAAGAAAGGAGTTTCTCGGCAACTCCGTTACCGTACCTGTATTACATTTATGTATGTATGAACGTGTGATGGTACAGTTCTTGTAACTGAAACCGCGGTGTGTTGATCCAGAGGTGTCATCTCTCTGTCTTAAACAGACCTCACACATTTAAAGTAAATGTTGACTTTAAGTAAATATCCGGAAGAAGTCACTTATTTGAATTTCCAGTGCCGTACGTACATGAAGCTGTGCTGTATTTTTTTCACCTAGAATTACATGTGTACAGTGCTTAAGCTTCATCAGCTTAATCAATTTTATTTTCAGAAGTTGCCATACTGAATTTGAGATTACGAACAAACGACTGCAATGTATCGCCCCCAAGCGTACATTCTGCTGCTGCGGTAGGGATGGAAGCGCTGTGACGTCCAGTATATTAAAAGGTGGATTTTTGATACCTTGTGATCGGATAACCCAGAACCAGGGAAATTCTACTCCGAAAATCCGATGGTGGTAGTAACAGCTGTCTACAATGTTTGGACTACGGATTCCGATATCAAAGGCATCCATCGGGAACGACTTTGACAGCGTGCAGACGATTCTTTCAAACAGGTAAGGAGATATCGTTAAAGAGTTGCATACACTGTATTTAGTTTTCATCATTTCTTTATTCACGTTTGTATAAAAATATACCGAGTTTCCCTGATGAAATTCATTCGACTATGCAATACATGGTGAACACTAGGGAACAGGTAAATTTTAAATCAGCGATGTATTTTCAAATCAACAAAGCTGAAAACAAAATATGCATATTCCAGGAATCAAAATAACTAACTTCAGACAGTATAATTACGTATTGTTAAATTACTGCAGCTTTACGGCTGGATGTTGGACTCAGTGGTATTGATAATACATGATTGTAAAAATGAAATATGAATAGTTTATATTTTTATAAATAATGAACATGAAAACAAAATAATCATGTATTAGTATTCAAAATGATAACCCTAATGAGCCACACAGTAAAGACAAAATCACTCATGTTTGAGTTTTTTTGTTTTTTTTTAAAGAATTTGAATTTGATAAGTTTACAAAGGTTACCATTCCACCGAGAAAGTTTGACAGAACTGGATCTACAGGGAAATTACTACGTGTAATTGCTACTATCGATGCCACATTCCAAGACAGCAATTCAAACTATTAAATTTTCCAAACAAAAACTTGTTTTATCGGGAAATGTGTACAAAAACGTACATATGAAGCTAGATTTTGTTATGGGGAAACATGTATAAAATGGATATATGGAGTTCGCAAAAAATATTAAGCTTCGAATGATACCCGTTGTTTTAATGGTAGATACGGAAACCCCTTCTTAATCTCATAGGGATCTGGAAATAAACACGCATTGGTACTTTCTGAGATATATCAGTGAAGCGGGATACTAAATTAGACGTCATATCAACACCAAAAGCTCTGATGGAAAAGGAGCATCTTTTTGTTTTCGATCTGTCACATAGCAAGGAAATGTTGTTTTTTCTAGTGCAGCCATGTTAGCAAATAAAAAGATGAGTGCTGGTCAAACGAACTGCAAAGGAATAATATTATGGTGCCTTAGTGCCCAGGGCCCGTATTCATGAAACCATTCTCATGCTCAAGCATGGATTTTGTGCTCAAAGCGACTTTCTTGTAACTCACTTAAGTCATGCCAAACGATCAAAAGGTCAAATGTTAACACTGAAAGCAGAATTTGGCTCCAAGTCTCTTCAACTTTTTTCCAAATCATTGACGAAATAAGATTTTATTATTAATTTATAAATGGAACAAGAAATACGGCTTGAGCACGAAATCTAAGCTTGCTCTCTTTGGTAAATCCTCCGCAAAGGGGGACGGTTTTCATTTTCCCATCGTGAACATCCCTTTCCCCGATAGCAACATCATTGTTACTCCAACTATAGTTTTTTCGAAGCTGATTCGACGTAGTTTGATGAATATTAATGGCTGCTCGATATGCATATTGGTATTTGCATATGCTTTGTGTTTCCGTTGTCTCTTTCTCCAGTTCCAGAACTTTACTTGAATTTGACCTATATTACATAGCGGAAAGCGCATCCCATCAGGAGTACCAGGTCTTATTCTCCTTGTACTTTTGAAGAGTCGCCGTAAAAATCATTATTTTGTTAATATTTTGCCATTGTTTCATTCGATGTTGAGTTTGAAGAACGTTGTTTTTTATGTATATATTTCGGTATTCTCTTGCTTTCTATAAAACGAATATGAGAAAAACTGTCAATTTATTTAACGTGAATATTATTGATTGCCGTTTTGGAGACTAAAATGCTCTGTCTAATGGCGGGATGCACTTGGAATGCTCTATCAGAAATTCGAACCATGAACCGCCGACCTACAGTGTATGCTTATGAATTAAACATACTTTACCATGAGCGGAAATTTATCTCCGATATCCGAACCCCTGCTATAGTTTAAGTGTTGTTGATATACCCGTACCAATATACATACAGCCCAACCCTTAACAGTTAGTCGATAAGACGTCGAAAACTTCAAGAAAGTGAATTTAGTATAGCGAGTATAATCAATAGACGTTTATCATTACTTACGGGCTTAGAGGTCAGCCCTGATATATACATATCATTGGTAATCTATGTACTTAGCGAGATAGCATATCACGTCAAACAATGTCAGAACCATCTTTTGAAGTTTTATTTACCGTGAATACCAAACTTGCGATGATATTGTAAATAAGGCCCCGTGTTTACTTTAATAGAGCGCTGGATAAAGTTACGATAGTCGGTTTTGTACAATCACGATCGGCTAGTAAACCATGAGAGTACGTATATGTAGTTTTGACAAGGATAGACATTCTAGAATCCAAGCATAACAAATTGAATTCATGAATGATATGTTTTTTTCTTTTGAAATTGATCCACATGTTAGAAATATGCATTACTTTCCACTTTCCCTTTGAAATTGCGTACATGAACAGATGTTTATTTTAAATAAAATTGCAGTAAAACGAAATTTGCATTTCAGTTAATATTGAAATGTACGTGCTATCATGTTACAGTACATGTTTAATGTATACATCTGTTTTTATCGATATTATTTCATATTAAGATGTCTTAATGTTTAACATGCTACCTTACTGTGATATGTGTACATCCCTGCCAAAATATTTCCACACTAAATAACCATGTACATTATCGTTTAATGAATCACGAAGTGGGTTTGCTCAATACACGAATATCAGCAATTACTTGGGTAATTTAGATTTTTTCGATAAATCTAATTAAAAATAACAAACAAATGTGTTATCACCTATACAAATGCAAAAGGTAGCATATAGCCTTAATTTTGGTGATTAAAATACATTTAATTACTACTTGTATATCATGTCCATTTGGGTTCTATCAAAGTTTTAAATGCTGTAATATATTTTGTTATATTTAGTTTCTATTTGTAAATTTATCTATAGCAATACTTTTCTATCATTGAAAAAGTCAGGCAGAGATGACTACAAATAATACTATGGCCTAAATTCAGTTTCAAATTGATTTTTTAGGGAAACAAAAAGTATAAACAACATGTATGTAAAATGAATCAAAAAAATCCTCGATAGATGACACGCTGAAAGACCCATACATTTAGAATGACTAAACTACACTTATTACTTTTGCGTTTGATTAAATCAAATGACTGGTTCATGTTCAAAACTACATGATTTAAACAGCTGCCTAGACAGTCGAAGCATTATAAGCTTAACGAAAAATCGAAACATTTTGATCTCGGATATTTGAAAATTGAAATAAAAAAGAAATTGATATCTTGGATCACTTAACTTGTAAAAAGACCAGTAACATGGAATCTGGTGTAAGATTTTTAAAAGGATAAGCGAAATTTAGTATCGGGTATTTTAGATAACACGTTGGTTAAGACAACCAGGCTTTGTAAGTCAGGGTTATAGTGTTTACAAAAGATATCAGACAGAATGCCTGTCAATGCCTGAAGTTTCCTGTACAGATCACTATAAGGTTGTCAACTACCGTTTTGTGCTGTCTTTCTCTGGAGATTATACTAATGATCTACTGAGTATTTTGTTACAACAGCTTGTGTTTTCCTCTCGGAGATTATCCGGGATTACCACACATTTTTGTAGGCGTGTGGCCCCAGTAAAGTGCAGTATATATATACAAATTACTGTGTTATGCCACGGATTTAGATAACTAATCTAAGTCCGTGGTTATGCAGGCACTCTGATATATATGTTGTTTATATTCATCACTCATTTTTTTTTATAATATTTCAACTATATCAGTTGATTGAAATTAAAAATATTTCTTAAATAATATTTCTACGTGTTTTCTTGATCGTTTGGAAAGTATTTTAAATATCCGTATTATATCCGCTTTCCTTGTTACAATCAGCTGAAAGCGGAAGTAGAAGTTGAAAGTGAAAGTTGAAAATGGCGGTGATCTAGCAACAGGTACACGAAGACAGTCCCTGACGAAGATGATCATCGATGTTTTTGCTCGAGAAAATATTTCTTACTTAGGTCTAATTCATGATATTTTTCTACACTAAGCTAAATACACATAGGATAACATATATCGCTAGTTGTTTGCTACATGGACAACTTGAATCAGTTTGACAACTGTGACATGTTATGATAGAACACGGACTTAGATAATAATCTAATTCCGTGGATACAATCATAAACGATACTATAATTTCGTCTGACAATATTTCACTGCTCTTATGACGTTTCTAAATTTCTTTTTATTATTCACACAGTAAAATTGAAGAACAAATACATATCTGCTACTGTATCTACCTGGTTTTTTTTTATAGTTTTCCCCTTCATTCTACAAACGCCAGTTAAATTCAGTCCGTCATAAAAATAGTAATATCTTTCAGCTGTATTCCTCTTCTGACATTGAAAACGATTTAAATTGGCGAGCACCCTATAGAAGAAGACGTCTTCAAATCTTTGTAAAGTGGGTCCAAGGGAAGAGGGTAGGAGATATTTAATTCTTAAATTGTTTTTTCCCTGTAGATTTTGAGATGCAACGATTCTGAATTTATGTTTGGGGGGAAAAATTACATCAATCTACATTTTTTTTAGCTATGATATTTAACAGAATAAACGGAATGGTTTTCTGCTGAAGTTGACCTGCAACTTATGTTTGTAAAAGGCCCATGTACATGTCTGTGTTTAAAGGTACTTGTAGCCCGATCGAGTTTTCTCTGGCGCAAACACCAGACATTCACTCAACTTCAAATCTGGGTATTTTCCTTTTTCTAACTGAAAATAAAACTGTTCAAAGCTCACTGGGAATGCAGAAAAATTAAAAGTTAAACCAGTCAATTCCCCAGAATAGCTGGATTATACAGTTAAAACCTGTCTAATGGGACACAAGGCATTAATCAGATAAGAGAGTTTTTCAGAATACACAGGTTTTTATTTTGTCGTTTTCATTAGATGTGGGATTACAGCATTATGTTGTATTAGATGGGATGTTGGAATACTCAGGTCGGATAAGTCAAGTTTCTCTATTGCAGTTACCCAACACAGTGGTGGTAATATATTGTACAGCCCTTGAACAATGTATCAAATATCATTTTCACCCTAATCACAATACATATATGTCATAATATGTAAACTGATTGATCTTAATCTTTCTGAATTGCAGTGTTTACAAAAATGCGTCATCATTTTGGACATCTCGAGCTAACAGCAAAGGTCATGTTGTATACTTAGAGGTCAGTCCGGAAGCTGGACAGCTGAAAAAGTCATCTAGTGGACAGATTTGTGTGTGTGGAGCAGCCCACAATGGATTTTCCACTGACGATACAGGCTACGGGACAGATACGGAGATGGACAACCTATCTCGGCTAACTCAAAAATATGATGATCCTCCATTCTCTACCTCAACTTTATCTTCAGAAAGTGTTCAACATAGAAACAGTAGCAGAAAATCAACCAAACACAAACAGAATTTGAAAGAAAATTATCATTTATTCAGAAATGGTTTGACACATGAACCAGATCTAGTGTGTACTTGTTCAATAGAAGATAATTGTGATGCCCTGGATTTCTTCAATATGGAAAATATAAGAGAAATTAATTTGAAGTTAAATCTGCAGAATTCTAAATTGATATCAGTGGATAAGTCGAGGAAGGTTGGCCATGTTGGTAGGGCTTTGTGCAAAGGTTTGCTGGGAATAGTTCCAGGCCATTTTCAGTCCGGTGCTAAAAGAGGAAAAGAAAATGGTATGCGACTTTGTGTTCGAGGATTTGTGCGGGATGGACCTGCATCAAAAAAATCTAACATTCATATAGGTAAGTATCAAAAAGATTGCCTGTCCTGCATGGTTGACCATTAGATCTAGAGTGTGTGGTAGCATTTCAGTCCTTGTGTATTAATATACATGTAGTGTATTTACTCTAGTAATTCAAAGGTACGTGGGTGTAAGGCCAACAAAGCAGCAAATGTGTGTTTCTGCTTTTAGACTTAGAATAATTACAGTAGTGTATGTATGAAGTTACTAGGTGGAAATATTTTTACCCAGATGGTAAACTCCAATTTAGTATGGAAACAGTATTTTTAGACTTTGACAGGGCATATTTAACGTTTGTGGAAAAAAAAAACTACCCATAGGTAGTCACTTAAATCTAGGGTATGTAGTTAGGGAAGGCAAACATACAAAGTAGTTATTCTTCTGGCCCATTCAGAAAGTTATATCTTTCAGAATATTTTCACATATGGGATGTCTAGTAGACTTTCTGATTGCAAAAGTGTCTTTTCATTTGGTAAATGAGCACTATACATGTTCATAACAAATTCTAGATGGATCACAGACTTTGCAGAAACGTAGGTGGTTGTTTTGTATTATTAGTCTTTTCAAAATCATAAAATATTCAGACTAGGAGATTTTAACTCATTCACCCCTGAAATTTCATAATGTCCTATTCCAACCTTTGAATTGTAGAGCTCAAAGGTTGTATATGAATAAACCAGTACTTGTTTTGTAGTGTACAAAATCTGGATTTCATTTAGAAGCAATTGCAATATGATTTACACATTCTATGTTGGTATTGAAGGAGACTGCCTGCGTCTGGTTAACGGGCGAGAGGTCACCTGGGACAATATTGACGACGTGTTCACCAGCATCATAGACAGCAAGCAGGTAATGATAATAGAGTCTGTCATACGGAGGTATGTGGCACATGGATATTCTATCTGAGGGCGTAGCAATTGGGTCCAAACTGAGGTTATCATAGCTGTCAACCCTCCATCATTAGGAGGGAGACTCACTAATTTTAACAAAAAAATATCAATTTCCCTCGAAACTCCCTCATTCAAGGCCATACTCACACAAAATCTACATCCTGTGGTCATTATGATTTGTCTGCTTGCAAAGGTGTGTCGACCATTTAATTTGATCATAAATGCCATACAAAAACAGTTCAATGCCATATATTTATGCGTTCGCCACCTTTCACTTTTTTTAAAGCTTACAAATTATGTTTAAAGTATAAAATCCAGGCCTTATCGACAGTCTAAAAAAATTTGTTCAATATCTGGAACAGTATACTGTGGCATGCTGATTGGCTAAGAGTAGTGTCTCGTGATGCATGTCATTTAAAGTCCCATCAATGACACAGCTTTCAAGTAGATTATCTAGTGACAATGCCATGCAAATGTAAATATATATAATAAGCTTCTATATTTGCATTGTGTTGTCACATTTCAGGTGCGGATTGTGTTACAAGATGTGTCCAGGTCGGCCACTGTTCCAGTCCTGGTTAAGGAGAAAGTGTCGACAGACGAGGAATCTCTAGTCAGACTTGTAACCGGGATCTGCTTTGATGATGCAGAACCAACTGAACCAGGGGAGATAACCCAATACTCAATTGTCTACCTCGACACAGAAAAACTCAAATCTGAGGAAAATGTCTGTGATGTAAGTTCATTATTTTTGTAATATTTTGAAGCTGAATAAGTTTTCTAAAGTCTGTTTGCTTTAAGGTTGATCTATAAAAAAACATGTTCTGTTCTCACGGTCAATTTGGCATTATTTAACACAAATTTGCTCTGGAGCATTTATTTTGCAATACATGTACAATATTAAAATCAGATTTTAGCATCTGGATATCCAAGTTACTCTTTGGTCTCTTAGTTATTTTTATTCTATTTTTGTGAGTATAAAGTTGATTTATTGATTATTTATTTGTAAACTTTCTGTGACTCCAAGAATCAAGTTAAACAGTTTTGTTCTTTTTTCAACAGGAAGATGTTCTGTACCGATACCCAGCAGACAAAGATCACGACCTGCTGCAAAAGTTACGAGGATGTTTTGTCACCATCCATCAACTTTTATTGGATATCTCAGAATCAACTGTCAAAAAGTAAAAGGATACTTCATGCATTATATACTATTCCGCTTTTTGAGCAATGGCACTTAATATTTACTCAAGAGAGTTCCAAAGTATTTTGGAAAAAGAAAAATTGAAAGAGAAAAGAATTTTAGAAATTAATTTGATTTAAATTCTTGTGATTTGTGAAAAAGTTTCACTTTGTACAAAAAGTATGACAAAATAGATTTAGAAACATGGAAACAAGAAACTTGAAGTATCTATCTCTTAAATTTTCTTTTAAGTCCATCTCTTTGACCTCCTCTAATGACGATTAAAAAACTGAAATAAAAACTCAAATCAAACATATAAAAAATGTTGTATTTTAAAAAATTGGTAATAAAATAGATAAAAGACACATGCCCAATATGAGATTCATTAAATCAGAGTCAAATGCATGTTTTTAGTGAAATAGGAACATGTACATCATTGAGTATAGTGATTTTCAGTTTTACTTTGAACCCCCCTCCCCCAACCCCTGAATTAATGTCTTTAAAACACACTTACCGAGGTATATATGATTTTTCAGAACCACCATCCAGCATGAAGGGGAGACAATCCACGTCAGTTACCACACAGAGGAAAATGGCCTATTGCTTGTTATGTATCCAGCAAAAAAGTAAGTTCCATGTACAGATGGAGCTTCATGTCACAAAAGTTGTGAGCAGGTTGTATGTTAGTATACACTGTACTTTAATCAACAGGTACTGCAACCAAACAGTGAGTAAACGACTTGTAAAAATACATCTGGAATAATGAAAACAGACACATACAAATAGTTGTGATAAAGGTAATGAGTTGAAAGAAATATACTCTAAAACATTTATCACAATGTGGATCTTTTGTGTTATTGATGTTATATATTATATATTATATAAATATTAATGCAAAAATATTTGTATGCAATATATATATAGATTGTATATATATTTGTATTACTTAGAAATAAATCAAATAATGTCTGTGTGATCGGCACAATGAGCATAAGTAAACAAGCTAGAAGACAGTTACTAGTGTTTTCACCCATTGATGGGTTCAACATAAAGAGGGAAAACTGCTTGAAACTCTATTTTCCACTTTTTTTTTCAATTTTCATAATTCATAATATTATAAATTTCAAAATCATTCAACAGTAGCAAAATAAGGATAACAGAAGCAGTATGTATTGATAAGTTTCAAATTAAAATACACTGACATACTTGGAAAAAATCTTATCGTGTCGATAAGATTTTTTCCAAGTATGTCTGTGTATTTTAATTTTTATGATTATTACAATTTTTTTATTATTCTTTTTTGGTCTTTGCAGAGTTATTCCAGCAATACTACCCCCTCTAGTAGAAGACATCGTACGGGTTCTGCGTGTCCAGTATGGGTCCGTCACTGAGGCCTTTTCTTCCACTGACCACGTCCAGGAGCTGGACAGTTTTTTCTGCCTGTTCCATCACAGTCTTGGAGTGTGTACGCTGCAATCCAACACACTCCCCAACCACTCATTGGGACTTGGTGCTACAAAATGTCTCAGCTGTTTCAACAATGTGCAATATTTACCTCTCTACACTAGTTTTAAGGTAAGTTTGTATCTTAAGATATTGTTATTATTATCTCCAACTTAGACCACTTGAATTCCTTTTCTATAGCTACATGTATTTAAGTATAATTTCTGGTTGAAATCAAATTATCACCTAAATGAAAACCCAATCCCAAATAACAAAGTGAATACAATGTAGTTTTGATAGTCTAGTCATATTTGTTTCCAGCAAAAGTGGTTTGATATTGAGGCTGATGAATTATACAGACAATTTTAATAGTGCATTGTATATACCGGTAAGAAAAAAGTCAAATAGTCCTCTTAGACACTGGCTATCTAGTGGGACAACCTGATTAGTGATGACTGGACGGTGGGACAACCTGATTAGTGATGACTGGACGTAGGGACAACCTGATTAGTGATGACTGGACGGTGGGACAACCAAATTAGTGATGACTTGACAGTGGGACAACCTGATTAGTGATGACTGGACGGTGGGACAACCTGATTAGTGATGACAGGACGGTCGGACAACCTGATTAGTGATGACTGGATGGTGGGACAACCTGATTAGTGATGACTGGACGGTGGGACAGCTAAATTAGTGATTGCTGGATTGACAAGGAAGGGGGACAACCATATAAGTGGTGGCTTGAAAGCTTGACAACCAGAATGGCATTTCAGATAATAGAACATGTTACATAGATTAGTCAGTGCATCTACCTGGTAACTATACCTTAGTCTATGGGTTATTTCCCCTGAACCAGATCATATCACTGGTGCTAGAAAGGGAGCAGAAATGCAAACTTTAGCTGCTACATCCCACTCCCACCTCTCCCCCTATCCCACCCACCCTATTTCAACCCTCAAAGACGTAGACCATTATGTCAAAAATTCATAAAACTGTTTGCAAACTCAAACAAAGATTCTGAGATCTGGCGCAACAGCTAATGATTCAATAGAGAAAGAACATTTCATAAACTGGTAGCTTGGCTTTAAATGTTCTTTATATTCTTGTTGCCAATGTGATTTTTTCAAGTTACAAGAAAGAGGATCAGAACATACAGTTTGAGCATGAGAACATTTTTCATCAAATAACTACTAGTGCACAAATGTGCGATTTGGTACACAAGTGGTTGATCAGTATTACGGAATAAAAAAATCTGGAAGGTTTGTATGGGATAAGGAACACTGTATATAAAAAAAAATCACCATATTAATTAAGATTATGATTAATTTTACAATTCGTGTTACACAGTAGTACAGTGATTTAAAGAAAAAGGTTCAAATAATTATTATTTCAGGAAATTGGATATTGAACAGAAAACATTAGATGAATTACTTGCATTTCAATGGATGTATTCTGTAATATTGTTTAAACTTTTTCAGGACAAAATAGAAAAAATAGTGAATAGCTTTGAAGCTGCCGATTTCTTTGATATGGTGAGTACATTACACATATTTACGAATGTCTGCAGTTATGTTATATTATAATATACATTTGATAGATTTAGGCAAAACAAAATATATATATTTCAGGTACCCTGACCGACCTTAGTTTTTACCTCAGACTCTAACAATTCTATCACACCCTAATGCACTTAAAGGTCCCATTTGAACGTTCTTAAAATATAAATCCCATATAATTATTTAAATGACCTAAAAATATAATGAAAAATGAATACAGTTGGTCTGAGTAACTATGATTTTTGTTATTTCTTATATTAGCCCCCTCAAAAATAAAAAATATAAATCCCTATACCTTATATAAGAGTTTATTGCTTGTTCCCAAAGTTTGATTTCTATTTTATCTCCGACTCATTTGCGCTTAAGTAACAAACTTTTGATATGAAGCGGAGAAATTAGAGATTAAATTTTGAGTGTGTTTCTTTATTTTAAATCTGAATTTATAGAAGTCGGGAATGTGATGTTCTATTTTTTCAGTCTGACAGTTTCTATGGATGTAGGAGATCTTATACCATCTTAGGATCGTGTCTGTTTTACAAGGTATGTGGAAACTAGTTATCATGTTTTTTGATATTGTGATATTTTATTTATGGCTCCAAAAAAAACTTACAATTCTTTCTAGGCAGTTGATCTATCTAGACAGGTGTCTCTCTACACAGGTGAACTTTCTTAACAGTTGATCTATCTAGACAGGTGATTGCTCTAGACAGGTAATCTCTCTGCACAGGTTATCTCTCTTTGGACAAGTGATAATATTAGACTTTTTCATTCCTAGGGGTGTAGGATAGGGAAATTCCACCCGACAGGCTTTCAAATGGTTAAGTCCAAGGCTTTACTGAGTATTTTGCTAAATTTGAAAAACCTGAGGGTGAAAAATTAATCTCATTTTCTTACATGTATGGTAAATATATCGTAAAAGGTTTTAATTTCATTACATCCCCTTTTCCACACATTGCGGCACAGAGTTTTCCAAATTCGTGACATTACATCATTGTTGAGCCATTGTGATGTCACATCACATGAAATTGGATAGAAATCTCTTTCTAACCCCTTTCTAACCCTAGGCAGCTCTATCTTACACACACCACACAGACATGAGAGAAATGGTCTTTCTTTCATTAGAGTGGGGTCTGTACACAGGTTTCACCTTGTTGTTTTTTGTCAGGCCAAGTTACTGTGCAATCACCTACCGAAGAATGACCTCTGTGACCTTCATTTGTACCTACGGTACCACAACCTATTAAACCTGAGCAGCCGCGGAGGGATGGATCAACTTGTCATTTGGCGAGAGGTTCATCCGACACGTCAATGGTACGACCTCGGTGAAGAACAGATGTTTGGCTACTCAGAACCGGTCACGGCTCGTTGGTTCTGGCTCATCGTAGGCTACGTAAGTATCATAATCATTTCTGCAGCGTTGAAAGAGAAATATGTTGTTTTCACCATTGATTATGAAGGTGAATTCAATAGCAGGTTGAACTGTTTAAAATGTATCCTAAACTTCAAGTAAGTAATAAGTCTGTAAGGAAATGAAGAGTCCCATAACTTGCAGATATGTTTTCAATTGACATAAAGTTGTTATTACCTGGAACCTTAATAACTGTTAGGAGCTGTTAAAAATGTAGAATATTTATACATTAAGCTACGGACAAGTATTAAATAGGTGAAATTGAATGAGGTATAACTCTACACAAGAGAACGAACTTACAGTATAACCCTGCTAAATTGACCAAGTGGGGGCCAGATCAAAGGTAGAGGAATACATGGTATTACATGAATCAGAGGTTTGTCTGACATCATCATGTTTTGGTCGAGTGGGATGACAGACAGCACAACACAAATAATAATAAGATCATGATCAGAACCAAGCCAATGATTCGAGGAACAGGGTATTCGAGAAATGCAAATTGGAGTAAGTGGAGTTTCACTGTAAAAAGTCTTAAGGTAATAGGATTGTGTCACCATTTCTCAGTAGAATTTCTTCCAATTTTGTAGTTATATTGCGTTGAAGTAAAGAAAATTTTCTGCCACAAAAAAAATATAGGTTGTCAGAATTTAAAGGATTTGAAATGAAAATTTATGTAAAAAGGAGTGAGTTTTGAAAAAAAAATGAAAGACACAATTTTAGGCAAAATAATGTCAATAAAAATGATACTGACATAGATTAGTATTGAATTAATGTATATCAATTTAATAAATGCTGAAATTGTGTAAAATTAATTATCTATAAACGTTTAAAAATTGACATTTTATAATAAAACCATGTACATATAGTAATTGCATGTAAAGAGTTATCTTTCTTGAAAAACTTCACAGTAGTGAAATAGGTAACCAGTTTCCTGAAGTACAGAAAAATGGACACATGTGACTCATTGATAAAAAAAAAATGAATTAATGCCTGGATTGCTTTGAAATACTTTAATATTGAGAGAACACACTGTTCTGTCAATAATAAACATGCAATATTTATCAGTTTAATATCAAACATCAGAATATGCGGAAATTGTGATACTGTCTCCCTACATTGGATTTTCAACTAGGGATGCACTTCCTATTTCCGTTTATCAATACACTCCTATGACCTTAAGGGTTTACTCGATTGATTTTGATTGTGAGGCTGACACTTTTAAGGGATGAATGGATTTATTATTATCATCTTGATACTGAAACAGTTACTCGCGTAAAATCACAATACATGTAGATTGGATTTGATCTCCATAAATAAATGCAAGAGTAACCTCCCTTGAAACAAATGATTGGCTATGTCAGATGACTGTGACTAGGACTTTAAAATAAGTAGGAGGAAACTAATGACATTTCAATTTCAATTCCTCATGATTTGCTTAGAGTAAATTAAAACCTACCTGTATGTAGTAATTTATCGGAGAGTGTAAGGGGATCATAGTTTCAGCGATTTCAGCGGACGATCATGTAGAGCTTGTGCTTCCCAATTACATGTGATTGATAACAAAAAAAGCTTGTTTCTTTATCCTACCGTTTCCCTCCTTTCTCTAAAGGCTGGCAAGAAGGTTGCACATAAAATGTAAAATATAAAAAAAATAAAAAATGACCTTACCTCATTTTTATAAACCCTTGCCATTTTACAAACAAAAATGTGAAAAAAGAATGACATATTGGCAGTATCTAAATTTTATAGTGAGCTCATGATATTATTTTTTTTTCTTTTCTATTAATGTGTTTATCATCTTTTTACAGAAACATAGCCTGCTGTGTGTACTGTTGGAAGCAGGAGGATGCACAACAAAGTGAGTGAATCTAGAGTTACTTGTATCTCTAGTTTGTGGATTATTCTGCTAGTCCAAAGAAAATAATTAGTACCCTTCTACATTAGACTTTTTCCGATAAGTTAGGGTAGGGGGTTGACAAAAGACTAGGTAAACAGCAGGTCATTTCATGTTCTCACATTCCTTATCCCCATTGGATGTTGTCTGGTCATCTCTTCTTTTGAATTTCTATTACTCTTATGGCCAGACTAGAATTCCATTTAGGAACTCATCAACTGGGGTACGTAGAACTTAATTCACTGAACACATCACTAGGGGTCATTGACTCCTAGTCTTCCTTGTATGAAGAGTAGATTTAAATGCATCCATATGCTTGAATATTTTCCAAAATTAAAGCTGCAGTTCCAAAGATGCAAAAAATAATTATGTGGGGCCTTCCATCTCTTCATGATCAGGTGGATTTTGTTCTCCTCAAATTTAAGATTTCTGATCAGTTTGAAATATTAACTTAACCCTTTCACCACTGTAGACCATAATGGACTTATCCATATCAATGCATGGTAGAGTCTATTAAAGTTACATAGGGTGAAAGGGTTAACATTGATTCCACTGGTTGCATTTCACATTAACAAACGTTGATCTTGGATTGTCTTTCAGATTGCCCGCCATGTGTATGCCTGATCCATTCTACATAGACCAGTGCCGGGCTACACTGATGCAGATAGTCGCCCTTGGCTTGCCTGCCCACTGTGATACCAGGTAAATTTGTGGGAGATAAAATAATTATGCATGAATTTTATCAACCATATGCATCTTCACTTTTTTACAAACCTGGATTTGACAGCGCATGTATTGGTGCTATCCAGTCTGCAAATTAAAGATTGTATGGAATGAAAGATGTTTGAAAGATTTGTCTTATATAGTCTTTTATGATATCATACATTTGCATTATGTCTGTATAAGATTCAAACATCAGTTAGGTTAGTGCATCTGCCTAATTCTGGATTATCAGACAGATATTATTGAGTATGGATGGTCAGATGACGCAGTGGATAACACACTCTCCTTTCACCAAGACGGCCTGTTTCGATTCCCTGATCAGTCTTGAAAATATATTGGGATTACCTGTCCAAGCACATGGGTTTTCTCCAAGTGTGCTATGGTTTCCTTCTAAATTAAAACCATCTGTACGCTGCCATCCGTAACCAACAAGAAAGATTGAATAAGTTGCAATAAATTGTTTCTTGATTGTTGTAAAATAAATAAAGTTTATATTATTTTATAGTATGGAGGAAAAGTTGATTGTCACTCAAGTTTCTCACCCCTGTCTTAACAAATCTGTACATGGGAAGCATCTCAGTTACCTTTCATACAAACTTGAATTCTGATTTATTTTCAGTTACAGTAGTCCTGTTCAGACCATGATTTGTCCCATGAGGAACAACACTTTGTCACCCATCTCTCCCTCTAAGAACACTACAAGTAAGAGTCACGTTTTATACCCCCGTAAACGTCTGTCTGTCTGTCCATGAAAGATCCTTGTAAGTATAACTCCTCCTAAACAGTGTGATTTTTTTGCTCTTTTTTTTTTGTGTAACTTTACACAGTAAGTTCATCCTATGCAGATCTGCATGAAGAAAAGAATTGGCATTTTGACTATTTTCCTGGAGTTATGGCCCTTTAAATGTTATGGTCCAGACACCTTTTAAGTGCACCTCCTCCTAAACAGTGTCGGCTTTTTTGCTGCTCTTTTTGTGTACCTTTACACAGTGAAAATACATCCTATGCAGTAATTAGTGCAACTCCTCCTTGAAAGTTTGTTGGAATTTTTTGTAACTTGGCACAGTTAAAGTACATCTTATATATATATTAAATGTGCATGAAGAAAGGAATTTGTGATTTTGCTACCTCAGTAGTTTTCAAGGAGTAAAGGCCCTTAAAACCTCAGTTTCTGCTCCAGAAAGATTTGATAAACAATAGTGAGATTTTCTCTCTGAATTAGTGAGATTTTTAATTGCATATATCTTAGTAATATTTTGGAATTTTCAGTGAGTTGTGATAAAAATAGTGAGATTTTCTTTCTCATATCTTAGTAGTATTTTCAGTGAGATTTGATACAAAAGAATTTCTCTCAGAATTAGTGAGAAATAAGTGAGACTTTTCATTGCATTTATCTAAGTTTTATCTCATTTATGTTATTCTGGATAGCCTCAACTTACTTTGTTTGAACCAATAGGGGAGATTCATGGTCATTTTAACTATTATCATGACAAGAATTCAGTGTTACGTTTTTTCTTGTATATTTTACTGTGTGTACATTTACTAGGTGACTTTACCAGTTCCCTAAGGAGACAGACACACACTCTGACGAGGAAAGACTCGTTCCATTCGGACGGTTCATCTACTAGTAACTCTAGCGGAGGCAGTATTATGAAGGTAAACATTCATCTGAGTACTATTAACTCATTCACCCCTGAAATTTCATAATGAACTATTCCAGCCTTTGAATTGGAAGAGTTCAAATGCATCTTCAGGGGTGAATATGTTAGTAAAGTCTTATACCCAGTAGATTTATCTCCAACTGTTTGAAACAGTTTGTTAAAAGGAATAGGCCCTTCCACATAAGTGGCATTGATTAGCATATTTGCGGGAGCTGAAGCTCATTTTCAGGTGGATTTTGTTTATTGCCCATACCATTTTATGAGGAGAGGGGAGGGCAGGCACTTATAATGCTACCCATGTCTATCCTCCCGACCTGTATCTTTACTTTTGTCATGACTCTACCAATTTCAGTTTTTAACACATTTTTACCAAAGTTGTAAAGGTCAAGTACAAGAAGACCTTGGATGAGTTTGTATTTCAGGGTCCCAAGGTCAAAGCTAAGGTCACTGTTGCTATTGCTATGTCAATCACAGGGCTAATGGGGCATCATGTCTTCAGATGTACTTGTAGATTTTCAATTTTTTGTCTTTCAATGCCAATGGCCATACAGCTTTATAATCTTGAAAATAAGTCAAGATTGAACTCAAATGAAACTGTCATGCAGAGATGTAATGTAACAATATGGAAATAGATAATGAAATTTGAATAGGAAATTATTGCTAATTTTGTTGTTGTTATTTAGCTACTGGGTAAAAGGGAGAATACTACTTTTTGCAGTTGATAGAGACTTTAAAGAATCTACTAGTCTGAAAGTAAAGAAAACAAATCATATGAAAAAAATGATACATACTATACTATTGGTAGCTCGGTATACATGTATATGAAGCATAATATTGTTTAAATATTACCAGCATTCATTTTGAACTGGCTTGTTTGCAAACATTATCAGGCTTACAAAATGTGCTTGTTGTTTTATTTCAGAAAGAAACACCTACAAAAATGCGACTTTTCCAAGTAGACTACAGCCATAGTAATGAAATGGCGCAGGACGTTCTGAAAAGCAGGAAAATAAAGTATGTATTGAAATATTATGATATCAGTTATCATATGTTTTGTCTTCATTGTCATTTATACTTTTTATTAAAACAAAAATATGAGACATGTTCTTCATTTCTGCGAGACCAACAAAATTATTTCCACAAGCTACACTTTATTTGAGTTTTCATTTTGTGAGCCAAAACAAATCAACGCAATGCCTGAATAAATGATCTATAAGCTAGGTTCTGCCATGTTGTCCCCGCTCTGTTGGAATTCATTTGTGAGATATTGTACGATTCTTTCGTATGATTTTCATTGTTCTACAAGATTTCAACTTATTACACAAATACCTTTCAATGTTTTGACAGATTAACTGTTGGTGCTGAGAATTGTCTTCTCCACTTCTTACACATTGACAAGATTGACGGGGTGTTTGTCAGCCCGACTTTGGAGACAAACGAGTTGGAGAAGGATATTGCTCACAATTTTCACCTCTGCTGTACCCAGATCAAACACATGTTTGACAGATACAGATATCGAAAGGTAAACACCGATATTAGAACATTTTTAATTACGATTTTTTTGAAGTGAATATATAGTTCTATAAACCTGAGAGAGCGATTATAAACTTTTGGGGATTTTTAACAAAAGGTTGTTAGGAGGTCATGATTGATATTTCCCTAAATGAATCAAAGTTGAAATGACAGCAGTTTTGAAACTGTGCCCTAATACCCTGTTTGTCTTCCTCGAACAGCAATAGCACCTCTAATTATCTTGCTTTCTTCATTGCATCGCATTCCAGGGGACAATCACTCTCCGTATTGGAATATTATTTTGTTCTTGGACGAGGACTTTGGCCAACTTGGGGAGGGTATTTGGGGGTAACAGCGATTCCTAACTTGAATGTCTAGTTCATCCAACAAATGTTGATCTGGGATAAATTGGGGCTGTATGGAGGCCAATCTATAGGAACGATGTTCTGTGTTGCAAGAAAGTCCCTACTGACTGTTGCAACATGTGGTCTGGTGTTACCTTGCTGCAAGGTTTGATTATAATGCATAACAAAAGGCACAACATGGTCGAGGCCTAAGGATATCATCCCGATAGCATACAGCCATTTAATACCCATTGACGATCACCAAAGGTGTCTTCAAACCATGGATGATTCCCCCCCATACCATAACCAAACCTACTTCAAATCGACAATGCTCCAGAACACGGGCATCAGCGAATCGTTCACCTATACGCTGGTACACACGTTGACGGCCGTCTGTTAGTGGTCAACTAATGTGTACTCTCGCAGTGCACGCAACTTAGTCACATCACTTTTTGGGAATGATTCGGATGGTTATGTTACCAATCATATTCCATGCCATTTCAGCAGCCATTAACCTCCTGTAATGCAGGTGTGCCAGCCTAATAATTTGGTCTTGGTCGTGGCTGGTCATCACCTCTTCTTGTGGTGTTCAGACGTAAAAGTAATCAACTAACAGTTGATTTGTGAACTCTGAGGTGACGGGCGACCTGAATTTGTGTGTTTCTCCCATAAACATCGGGATAGCACACATAAACATCGGGATAGCACACATAAACATCGGGATAGCACATATAAACATCGGGATAGCACATCCTATATAAAATTATGATAAACGTGCCATAATTATGGAAGGAATTATTGTTTGCAAAAGTAGTGATGATGATGTGTCTGAATGTTAGTGATAAATTTATACTGATACTGTTATGAATGAAAAAGAACACATTAGGTTTGTGCAGACACAGGTATATTAATATTTTAGCCGCACCGTATGTGCATGGGTTTCTTGTCAAACCTGTTTGATTTTTAACATTGGTGAGGGGTATGAGCAGGGTGCACTTTTATTTCCCTGACTTTTATACAGCTACATGAATGTATATTTAATACAAAATACATAATTAATTTCAGAAGTTGTGTTTCTTTTTTATTTCAGTATATATTTGAAGTAAAAATTCAAAGCTGAATCTTTTCGGTACTTCACTTTCATGGACTTCATGACAACTTTCGCAACTCTTAAATTTCAGAAATACCCAATGAGAGATGAACGTGAGAACGACTATCGTATTCCGTCCTGTCCAGATCCAAGCTTCTATCACATCCGTGAGGAAGGGGTCTTGTTTCAACTGCCCCAGTCTGACATGGACCATAAAGTCCCAGAATCTTACTGGGTTGTTGGGTATGTATAGTATTAAGCACCCTTTTTAGCCGCCATTATCAGATGGGGGGCTATTCAAATCTCCTTTCGTTTGTGGTTTATGGTCCATCTGTCCGTCTTAAAACAATTCTTGTTATCACTATTTCTCCGAAAAGTGCTTAAGGGATCATTTTGAAATTTGATATGCTAGTTGCCCTTGGTCCCCAGCTGTGCATGTTTATTTTTGAGACTAACAAGACAAACAAAATGGTTGACAGGCGCCATCTTGGAGTTTGACAGTTTTGTTATCTCTATTTCTCAGAAAGTACTGGAGAGATCTTTCTCAAATTTGTATGTTCCCCTTGTTAAAAACACCTCTGACGTTAATGAGAATATCCTCATCGACAGCACCTTCAGTTATGTTAGAATTACAAAATTATTTAGCATTTCGCATATAGTTATGCAATTTTTATACAGTAACATTTGCCATAGCGGCAAATAGCATGACATTCCGAGGTTGAAGTTATTTATAAGATTTCCATTTAGGATTTCCTTCATGGGACTGGTTTATAGTACTTATAGGTAAACGAAGAGCAAAGAAATTCAAAGAACATCTTTTTTCTAGATCTGATAAATATCCATTTATGTTGGGCGCCAATGTTCTTCTACTTTTGGTTCTCTTGTTGTCTGTCAACATCAAGATTTCCTGGCTTTATCATTAAGAAAATTAATTTACCAGATATTTAGAGCTTATATTAACAACTTACCAATACTTGCACTTGGCTGCTTTTGCCTACAATGATATATAACTGTATATATAAGTTCAATGCTTAAGTGTCATAAATTCAAATCACTTTTAAAGAAACTTGAAGATGAAATCTATCTAAACCTGCCATCGACTTGATAATGCTTCCAATTAAAGTTTACTGCTAGATATCATATTTGTGGTAATTATTGCCAATAAAGACAAGATGTACTTTCTATGCTCAAGATTGACAAATAAAATCAAGGTAACAGTACTGTTGGTGGTCAGTATTCCACTTGGTAATCACATTAGGATAAACGATTTAATTGTATCACACTGCTACCAACACAGAGATGTCAAATGGCCTAGACTTTGCAGCAGACTAGAACTAGTTGTGTTTTTCGATGTTGTTAAATTGCTTGCAGCTTTTATTGTTCTTTATAATTTCACTTCTTACATATTTTGTTTACTTGCATTTCAGACGCCAAAGATCCAAGACTGAGCTTTACGTATGCTTTAAGGATGGTATCCCACAGAATTTAGTGGAGTTGGCCTTCAGAATGGGATTCGGCCTTCAAGTTTAAACTGTTTTGTGAGAAAGAATGACCTGATACCAACAGCATTTAAACATGTCAAGATTCTTCTATCTAAACGAGACCAGATACACAACATATTATCAAGAAAAATATTGCAATAAAGTTTCTGTACCTCTCAATTATTTGAATTCCACATTTGACTTAACGAGGAATTCAGCTTTCCAATGGGGAAAATAGTCCAAACAGGAATTATGTTGTTCAAGGAAAAATTAGAAAAAATCTGTTGAAATAAAGACACCACACTCATCTTTTTTCTGTGTCTGGAACCTATATTTATTTTCTCAGACTGAATGGTATATCAACATATATAAACAGTAGTACATTTTCATGGCATGGAGTATTACGACACATCTAACAAAGTTCCCCTTGTTAAGTCGGTTAGACAAGAACAACTTGTACTATGCAATATAAAGTAAACAAATTAAGTTCTGTACATACATGTGCTAAGAGATTGAGAAATATTTTCATACTATTTCATTTTATCAGAGAAAATTATTCTGAAAATTAAGCAGTTACATGACTTTGTCCAAGAAAAACAAATATCTGATAGTTTTTGCTGAATCGGGATACACACATGTATCGGGATACACACATGTATCGGGATACACTCATGTATCGGGATACACACATGTATCGGGATACACACATTTATCGGGATACACACATGTATCGGATACACACATGTATCGGGATACACTCATGTATCGGGATACACTCATGTATCGGGATACACACATGTATCGTGATACACACATGTATCGGGATACTCACATGTATCGCGATACACACATGTATCGGGATACCCACATGTATCGGATACACACATGAATCGGGATACACTCATGTATCGGGCTACACACATGTATCGGGATACACCCATGTATCGGGATACACACATGTATAGGGATACACACATGTATCGGATACACTCATGTGTCGGGATACACTCATGTGTCGGGATACACACCTGTATCGGGGTACACACATGTATCGGGATACACTGATGTATCGGGATACACACATGTATCGGGATACACACATGTATCGGATACACACATGTGTCGGGATACACTCATGTGTCGGGATACACACATGTATCGGGATACACACATGTATCGGGATACACACATTTATTTTTATTTATTTTGGGGATTTCTGTTAATAGCATTGTAAAAAAGATTCACCTGTGATTAATTGATAATGTTTCAGAATTAAATGGTTAGGTATAAATTGATTTTAAGTATTCAAAATAACCTCTATATATGTACACATGAAGGAAACAATATGTATCATACTTATTTTATTGATATGTGAAATGAAATAAATTGTTGCATGGCCGTCATTTTTTTAGGAGCAGGTCGCGAATATTTGCCAAATTCTCATTGGAAAATAGTGTATTTTTTTGTCCAATGTTTCCAAAATCAAAATTTTATGATATTTGTTTTTATTTGCATATGATATAACAAAAAAATATCAATCATTTTTGATATATAAATGTATTATTTGTTTTAAGCCTATCTGTGGTAAATACATGTAACTATTCAATAAAGATAATTTCCATGTTTCTAAGAACCGCATATCTTTTGGAAAGGAATCTGCAATCAAAAGGATATTTAGTGTCTTGCAATATATTTCACACGTTAATAGTTTGGGAAATATGTGAAGTTAAAGTTTTAATTATTTTATTGTATTGTGTTATTAATTATGTACAGTTTACTCAGAAATCAATTATTTGTTACTGTATGTACTTTCAGGTTAAATGGTATTATTCTAGTCATATATATGTTATATATATTAATACTTTGTACAGAAATACCTAATTCTTGATTATTTTTTATACATGTATGTTGTGAATAATTGATCCAGTTAAATTTTGCAATCAAACATTTTTTCTTTGTTGTTAATTTTTCAATCAGCCTCTTAAACACACACACACACACACACACACACACACAAACACAACCTCACACAATCAAAACAAGCAAAAAACTAAAAAAAATAACATTTCAAATGAAATTTCTTGAATTCGTGCTTTTAATTCAAGTCATCAACATCACACTTTCAGATTTGAAAGTCAACTGCTAAAAAGAAACTGAGTTACTAGGAGAGAAATAATCTCACAGACACATCATATAAGATCGATAAAGTTTAATACACCTGATACATAATATACTGAACCCTTTCACCACTGTAGACCATAATGGACTCATCCATATCAATGCATGGTAGAGTCTAATGAATTAACATATGGGTGAAAGGGTTAATAGTGTCGACTGACCATGACAGGTGTAGTCCCTCCTCGGTATCCGTTATTCCTGGCTTTGCTTTGTTAACGTTTAACTCATCATGAGTATCCGTAGCGAAAGTGGGGATTTAAAACAAGGTTGAAGAAGGTTGAAAGTTATTTTAGATATTTGTTTTAATAATTGCAAAAGGTTAAACAGAAATCTACATATGGTAAGTACAATTTTGGAATGATTGCTAGTCAAAATTCAATACATCTCGTTGTGGCACACTATGGACTTGTAATAAAGTCAATAATAATGAAATGATGCTATGCTTATTAATTACTAAACGGATTTAAGAACAACCAGAGATTCAGGTTGTTCATGTTTTTCATCCTATTAACAGCTATATATATATGGTCATTTAAGGACGTGGCAGGTTTTGGTGGTGGAGGAAAGCCGGAGTTCCCGGAGAAAAACCACCGACCAATGGTCAGTACCTGGTGACTGCCCCACGTAGGTCTCGAACCCGCGAGCCAGTGGTGTAGGCCTAGTGGTAGCAGACTGTGAGACGCCTTTACCACTCAGCCACCGCGGCCCCTTATAATCAGAGAATACTGAGATATCAACAAAACCACAATTGGTAATAAAAAAATGATAAAACTCATAAAGATCTACATGGAGACCATTGAAAAAGTACAAGGAAAATAAGACCAGGTGTTCATAAAGGGTAAGCGTAAATCTAAGTCGGATCCAAGTAATGTCACGTTCCCACCAACTCGGGTAGTGACAACAGAACCACAAGGCGCTCTAATGAGTTAGAAAATATGAATAGTTAGTCTAAGGGTATAATTTACGCTTTGACTTGTATTTGTTATTCTGAATGTTTCTTTCAGGCCTAAATCTCATTGAAGTTTTTACAGTTACCAAACACATACAAATTTTGTGAATGATGAAAATATTTCTTTTTATCAAATGAATTTTGAACATATACGCGTAGCTTATTAGGACAGAAAATCAACTTAACTTCAAGACCTTTACTAGAGGGTTCTGTTTAAATTATGTTGTAACATAACTCAATGGACTATGGGCGGCGTAGTACTAATATTAATACCCGGCTTCCTCTGCCCTGTCGACGCAATATATAAAAACATTCTCTCGTCGTCAGAAATTTACGTTACGAGTCTGTGTAGTTTGCCAATTAATACGCTGCCAACCATTGTATTTCTGTCGTGAATCCATGCACCATGTTTGCCTTTTAACGTTTGCACAAATTTTCCTACATGACAATTCCAATGATAATCGCAGTAACATTCGCGAAAAAGTCTAATTAAGCCGACCGGAATCGCCTCAACCTCCGCCGCCATTTTGACATCTGGGGCATTCGCAATACATCGGTAAACGGAACCATCCATTGTGACAAGATCAGAGGGATAAGAGGAAATCTTTTGTACTTAAGTGCGAAGGTACATAATGAAAAAAGATGACTACATAATGACAAAAGACGTATTTTTGCGTTAAGTACAGTACTTAAGTGCAAAAGATTTGCACTTTAGTGAAAAAGTTTTTGCCATTATGTGATTTTTTGCCATTATGTCCAGGTTTTTTCACTGAAGTGTAAATCTTTTGCATTTAAGTGCAAAAGTTTTTGCACGTTTAGGTATTTTATCCTAAAACGGCCGCCCATAATGGACAACTTAATACTGTTTTCTTCATTGTCGTGACATCGCTATAGCGATACATTTCATTTTGTCATATATGATACAACTTTAAAAACCAGTCTGATGATTTCCATATAACAAGACGAAAGCGCCCTTGGGTCTATCTACTGCTGTGTAACATATCCATGTCTACTGGGTATGTACTTTTACACCATGATGAACCCTTCGAAACGTAACCCTGGTGCCGTTATGAGCTTCAGCACTTTGCTGAACCATCAGCTCAACCATACTAAAAGTATGTTCATGTACAGGAATATTAACTATATAGGAACGACAGGACCCCAACCCTGGTAGCATTATGTACCTGGGCACCACTTAGAACCACCAGGACCCCAACCCTGGTAGCATTATATACCTGGGCACCACTTAGAACCATCAGGACCCCAACCCTGAAAGCATTATGTACCCGGGCACCGCTAGGAACCATCAAGACCCCGACCCTAGTAACATTATGTATCCGGGCTTTGCTATGAACCATCAGGACACCAACCCTGGAAGCATTATGTACCTTTACACCGCTAAAAACCATCAGGTTCCCAACTCTGGTAGCATTAGTACCTTGGCACCGCTGAGAACCATCAGGACCCCGACCCTAGTAGCATAATGTATCCGGGCTTGGCTATGAACCAACAGGATCCCAACCCTGGAAGCATTATGTATCCGGGCTTGGCTAAAAACCATCAGGTTCCCAACCCTGGTAGCATTATGTACCTTGGCACCGCTAAGAACCATCAGGACCCCAACCCTGGTAGCATTATGTAACCGGGCACCGCTAGGAACCATCAGGACCCAAACACTGGTAGCATCATGTACACGGGCACCGCTAAGAACCATCAGGTTCCCAACCCTGGTAGCATTATGTACCCGGGCACCACTTAGAACCATCAGGACCCAAACCCTGGTAGCATTATGTACCCGGGCACTGCAAGGAACCATCAGGACCCCAACCCTGGTAGCATTATATACCCGGGCACCGCTAGGAACCATCAGGACCCTAACACTGGTAGCATTATGTACCCGGCCGGGCACCGCTAGGAACCATCAGGACCCAACCCTGGCAGCATTTTGTGTACCTGGGCACCGCTAGGAACCATCAGGACCCAACCCTGACAGCTTTTTGTGTACCTGGGCACCGCTAGGAACCATCAGGACCGCAAAACATTGTGACGCTTTGTTATTTGACAATGTGAGATACCATTAAGACCTCTCACTTTATGACGCTATGTACACGTTGGTATGGTAATGCGAGGGAGCACTAAGTACCACCTTTATATAATGACGTCACCATGTGGAACCCAATGCTGTAATGATCATTGTCACTGTGAAACCAGCATTACAACTCTGATGATTCCATGCTTTTTTAAACCTGTATGTACCATTAGATCCTATACCCTACTATACCACTATGAACACATGGTCACTGTTAGGAATCACCAAGATACCACAGGGACATGAAAATTCGTTAGACGTTTTAGAGATTTAGATAAACTGTAAAAATGTCACCCGCAGTTATGTTTAACTCATTCAGCCCTGCTCCAATTCAAAGGTTGGAAAAGTTCGTTATGAAAGTTCACAGGGATCAATGACTTAAACGCGTTCATTTTACCATTGCGAGTGATGCCTGATAAAGGTAAAAACTGTAGCAATTTTTCAGAGTTTCAGAATTGTGAGAACCCACAGGGAACTATTCCGTGTTCGCTGAAACTATAAAGAACTGTTAGGAAAGTGGCCCAGGCGACACTATATACCTTTGCACTGAGATGCTAGAAAACAATTCACGAAAAATACGAAAAAATGTCGACGGTTTCTTGAAATTATAGAAAGATGGATCACACCAACCGAGCAACAGGG